AGTACATATATGTAGAAGATATTTTTCCGAGCCCAATGATACCATACATGTACTTAGCTGGTTTCCACCGATATTTGACCCATTTTTTCCTCATCAAGGGCAAGCTCTGCTGTTCTTGAGTGATTTTGGGGGTGTGTTTTTGTTATGATTCCCTGACCCAGCTAGAGAAATACTAACAAAATGATCACTACAGATCGAACGACGAAGCCTTCCATTTTTGTTTCATATAACTTTTGACTTGTGGGAGCTTGTCTCGCGCTCTTTGCTGCATTTTTGTCGCACGAGATTTTGTTTTTCTGTCAATACTGGATTTCTTGTTGCACATCATTCTACAGTATGTTTTGGTTGGTAGTGAAGTATAGGCCAATTAATGGGCAATGAGGAGTGGGTGTAGGAGCTGCCATAAGTCATAACCATGGTAACTGTGGGCTCCTTTGGCTTAACTCAAGGAGTATTAAAAATTTGGGGGGAGGGGTCAGATGTGAAGCAAGCCCTTGGGAAAGAGTTCCAGGAATTTGTACAGATTTCACTTGACACCCTGTACACACACCCTATGAGACTGGTCAAAAAAATTCTATTTTGTCAGTAAACGACATGCTATTTCCCCTCCTACATTAATTTTTATGTACATGTTTTTGCATTTTAATGGCTGATACCATGAATACTATAGGTCATTGTAGGGAATAATTACTAGTGCCATATTTGGAACTCTTGCCTTATGCTTGAATGCTGATCAACTCATACGACTGCCAACTCATGCACTGACCAACTTAAACAAGTTCCAACTCATATACATGGACATGTATGTAGGAGTTGGTCCGTGTACAGATTGGTCCGCATACAAGTTGGTATGCATATGAATTGACCTGTTTCAAAGTCCCTCAACGTAAAAACATAAGTAGTAAAAGAAGTTGAGTGGAATAATTTGCTTATTTTTATAATATTCCGTGTTCAAATGTCATGAAAGTATACAAAAAATAATTGGAAACGTGGCACATTCCAATACAAGTTCTATTGTAAAGAACGTTTTTGTGTATACTTTTCTGCAGTACTACTATCAGAAATTTCCTTGTATATTTGCATAATGATGGTGCGGAATATAAAAACTTTGGAATGGTTATTGCAATGACAGAACTGTGAAAAATGATTTGCACTGTCAAGTAAGATTGGTTCTTTCTTACATTACATCATTGTCAGTTAAAATACTTGAAAATTTTATTTAAAAGTTGTCCTTTTTTGTACATATTGCAGGTTATGCCAACCACTGGTGTGGGCAAAACTACCACCTTGAAGACGTCAATCTTTTTGAATGGTGCACAAGATCCGTACCGTCATCATTGGTGACTCCCAGGAGAACATTTCAAGCCGTGTACCTGTACTGTGTGGATGTACCGACCTATCCAGGAGCCATCATTGATCTCTTCGCAGGAAGATTGTATGGGGAGTTGTCAAGGATTAGGAAACTGACCCATCAGCCATTGTTGCCATTCACATTGACACTAATAATCTCCAGCATGCTTTACTCCACAGTGACATGAAGGAATTCAAATCAATGGTTAGGTTGTGTTTCATCATGAGTGATGGTGCTTTTTTAAAATCTTCTATTTGGACATGATAGCTTTACAAAAATGCTGCAGGAAAAAAGACATCATCATATAGAGAATGGATATTTCAGTAAGCTTTGAAGTTACATTTATTGTTCTGAAGTAGATGAAGTGAAATGTGATGCATATTCATTGGTTATTGTACGTTGATTTCTGTTATAATTTGTCTTTCTTTTACTGCGATGTTTTCATAATTCATTGTGCACTACTAATAGTTCTATGTGATGTTACTAAAACACTTGCCACCATGGACTATTTTTTCACGTGACAAGTGCTGTGTTTTCACATAAGACAACATTAGTTCTATTTATTTTACTGTGTTGAAATAACATTTTGATGCACATAACTTTGTGAAAAAAGTAATGCTACAATAGCAGTACATGTACATAAGTAAATTTTTGGATGTTTAAATTTGCTTTCGCGTACTACATCACAAGCGGCTCGAGGATATTAATCTATGTAACAATAAATAAAAGATACATTTTGTATTTTCCTAAATCAAAATGATAAAAAGATGTATCGTTTATCTATCTCTGTCATTGTGTATTCTGATAATAAAGTGATTTGTTTATTCTTGCCTGAACATGCTTGTAATTTGCTGGTATTTTATTTTGTGTATATGTGATTTTCCACTATAATTTGGATGTAGCAATCCAGCCTACCGTCACAAAAAATGACAAAAATATCTTTATAAGGATCACGTAGAATCCTGAGAAATCCCCCACACATTACTTTAGCCTGTGTTGAACATCGATGTCTTAAAGAATAGAATTTAAAACAATATAAACTAAAGAATTGAATGCCTTTCAAAACAAGCCTTTAAGGTGTATATTGAAGGGCCTGTACCCCGTCCTTTTTTTTTTTCTTTTTTTTTTTAAGGAACCAGAAGAGAATGAGTCATTGCTATCACAAAAAGACCGATCCTCAGTCTAAAAAGCGACACAAGCATCCGGGACTGTGCGTGCGACTTCATGATGTAATGCATATTCGCCAATCAGGTTGCACTTCACCAAATACGCGCCCATT